TTTTTTTTTTTTTTTTTTTTTTTTTTGAAAATGTTAAGTGATTTAGAAACCAATCGTGTTTGTGCTTTTGCCTAAATGATCTTTGAAAATCGTTTTTAAAATCCTTCCGATATTCCAAGAATGCCAGTAAGGTCTCTGGCTGTTAATTCTCGATTCTCTAGCACCAATTCCTTTCTTATATTGACATGTTGATCATCAGTTGATGTTTACAGTCGTCAGGCACGTGGTTTGTCGTCAATGCTTTCTCGCCCCATTTTGAGTAATTTTTATCAATCAAAAACACTTGCTCGAGACAAAAAATGATCACCGAAGGTGGAACGGCTTTGTTGAATTATTTCACTCATCGTAAAATCGCCGAAGCTCTTTACGCAAGCATAAACTAAACACTACTAACCATTTTCGTATGAATTGTATACAATTTTTGGACCCGTTTTTTTATTCTTACTAATTTTTGGTGTTTTCAGACAATTTTTATTAACAATAGAACGCAAAAAGATCACTGTAAACAAACTGACTTGAGCTGGTGCCGTCTGGTTCATTGTGGCTCAACCGAAATTAATTGTAGATTTGTCATTCATTCACTCCTGGCTGACCTTGAGTTACAGCTTCTGAATTTAAAAATACATTTTAAACATTCGTTTTTGTCACTCCTCCATATATGACCCTTAGCCGGATATAAACACATACTTACAACATACGAACTGGATCAAAATTTCAGAATCATAAAACCATCCTCACTTTTGTCTAATCCTGAGCTGGCACTGCCCACACTTTAAACAGAGCTTTCACATATCTCTAGCACAACTGAAGCTTTCATCTACGGACTTAATTGTTGTATTCAACACATACGAAATACCAAAAATTGGTCCTTGTATGCTCTCGCTTTATCCTCCCAACCTTCAAAGTATAGTCCGAAAGTCAAACTTTTAGAAATGGGGTTGATTAAACTTTATTTAAGTTCGCGAGTGCTAAGTTGAATGAACTCTCAATGTAATCGAGATTTTATTTTTTAAAGTGCGGTTCTGTTGCGAACATATGTTCATGTTGACACATTTGCATACATACATACATGCATATATCAAGTAAAGAGTGATGATAATTACTCCTAAAAGATATCTCTTTCATTCGGTTAACAGTCAACAGTTTTGTAATAATTAATAAGATCCACGCATTGGGTTCAGCTCAATTAGCAACACAAACAATTAAACTGTTACTCCCAAGCACATTAGAGATGAAGAAAGAGGAACAAAATATGAACGATTGCAATGAGAAACAGCAATCTCATTGGCTAATGTTGGAATGTTTCCTTCTTTGTGCCCGTTCGCATGCGGAAAACAATGTTCTTTGTGATTGTACTCTTCATATTTATATATATATCACATATGTATGTATGTGCCATTTATAATATATACAAACATATTTATGTATGTGATTATGCGATAACTCATTAATTCCGGTAATATTAATTATTTGGTTCGTGTGGGAGCACGCCTAATGGTTCTTTGGGGCGACTTCAATCAATATAAGCTCTTTGAAACATGGACAAAATTATGATTTTAGGGAAAGAAGTATGTAGAGAGAGAAAAATGCTTGTAGGCTAAAAAATGTCTGACTCGGCTTTTTGCAAACCACATTTTTGGCATAGACAGAAAAACCCGATAAATAAAATCTTATAAAAATATTATATATATGTAGTATATATCTTTATGTATATAGTTTTGTTTAATATATATAAGCGTCGCCATATCTGCTCTGTACTATTGCTTAACCTCAGTGCATTCAATGACACATTTTTTTCCTACTTTTCGCCATTCAACATCACCCTCCGTACACATGCTAACCAATATGCATAGCGCTTCTATTGGTTTATGTAGGCGTACGAATTTCTTTCCGTTTCACCGCGGTAACCTAGAAACCTAAACTTTTCTATGCGCCTATGGTGATAAGAACCACATTTTCTATATTCAATAATAAATATACCCAATAAACGATTAGGTTTGAGCAAAAGGTAATCATATCTTGAGAGCTGATGAATTTTAACATTAGTTAAATGGTAATGATTCCCTCTCTACATTTGTATATTACTAAGACGATTTAATAATTAAAAGCTCTACGGAACTTTAGGCCGCTAAACCTCTTAAGCTCACTAACAACTCCATGGTGTCTGCCTATCCACGAATGAATGGCTGTGATCAATCTTTAGTTGATCCCATCATTCTTTAGTTGAGCTTTGTCACTTCTGCTGCTAGGTGGAGAGGCACTTGGTTCTCTCTGCTTTTTTCTACCTTGTAGACGGCTCTGAAAGCTGGTATAGTCACGCGAATTCGTCCCCCTGGATGTCGATAGGTGGCAAGCTGACGAGTACTTCAGCAGCATCGCATTGATATCGTTCGGAAAGCTCTTATTACTTCAAAAGCCTGTGCACTACTTTTATTGGTCTTGCATATGACTTTATGTCCGGCGCCTGTATCCATATTAGCACTGCATACAATTTCACGGAACTCATTGTTTTTGCTATTAAAAATCGCCGGTTGAAACACAGACAGCCTCTACCAACCAAGTGTTCCTTAAATTTTAGCTTGGTCCCCAATATTACTTCCAAATTCTTCAGCTGCGGCTATTGAAGTAATCTCGCACTCTCTTATGGTGGGTGATACCCTTTCTTCAACCTTACTTGTGCTTATGAGCAAGACTTACGTTTTCTGTTCAGCCATCTCCCAAGTCATTGTTACTATGAGGTCATCCGCAAATGCGTTTGTTTTCACATTTTTTATTGATGCATACTTATTACCTCGTCGTACATCAAGCCCCATAGTAGGGGGGCTAAGACCGAGCCTTGCGGTGCTTCACTCGAGATGGTGTAACTCCTCCGTGCCAAATAACAATCTTCGAAATAGCTCATTACAAAATTAACGAGAAACTGGTGGCGCGTATTTCGTATAAAGCTTTGGGTAAGCGGTTTCTTAGTAAACATTTCCAATCGCGACGAGCATACGCAAAGGTCGATAAGATGAAGGTTCTTCAGACCGCTTTTTAGTTTTTGGGAGTAGAACCAAATGCTATATCTTCTACGGTTCGATGAACACTTCTTATATTATGCACGCGTTGTACATTTTTTCAAACTTAATTGGGGTTTATAATCATGGCTTCCTTTTGTTTGTTGGGTATATTCAATAGAATGCACATACTCGTAAGCATGTAGGCATGTGTTCGAAAATAAACGAGGTTCTTGGGTTGTCAGTTTGTGTTGCACAAATGTGTAATTTTTTTTTTTGTATTGACATTTGTTGTTGTTATTGTGGAAAATGAATTTGATTGATGGTTGTAATTGGAAATTTCATTAGGAATGCTTTTGAGATAACAAATTTGTGCCATGTTCGAACACAAAGTGTGTACTAATATACAGAACTACATACATATAAGTATGTCTATACCCTGCACGGGGGCACGACTGAAAGAACTAGATCAGAAAATAATATATACATATATATACACCGTGCGACTCATAAAGTCTTTACACAAGGAATGAATGGTGCCACATAGTACACAAAAGTTGCAGTAAGAATTGCCAATTGAGCCTTAAGAAACATATCGTCACCTGAAATGCAAAATAACGTATTATCAAAAAATTCGAAACTGAGTGTCTTATTGATTACGTTTCACTACTTCAAATTACATACATAATATTACATATGTTTAACATTTTCAGGTTCTGCGATCAGATATAAACAAGTTTTAACCAATATTAAAATTTTGTTTCACTTATGTTCCATTTTATTTCGTGTTTCATTCATGCCACTGTAAATTTCCGAAAATGTTGTTACGTTATTTTGCATTTCAGGGGACTATATACAAACATTAATAGAAATTTGTGCCAGCGCTGTTCGTTAGTTAACCGGTTATTTAACCGGTAGGCCACCTATTTAGAGGGTATTTGGGCGAACGCCTATTATAAGATTGTTTTCCTGTTTACTCATCTATAGGATAATGCAATGTTCGAATTGAGCTTTCTTTTTTTCATAAACTTTATTTATTACTTTTTCATTTACTTCCAGTGTACGTGAACGCTCCAAAGTGCATCGTAGCCCTGATTGGTCGAAACGCGTCAGAGACAAAAGATTACATCAAAAGAAAGCGATTAGTTGTATCGAAGGTGAGTTCATTTTTAAATTGATCATTAGCTAAACATAAATATTGTTATTCATAAACTGGAGCGAAACATTTAAGATTGTTCATATATAAATAATACATAAGGCAAAGGCTTTTAATCAAACGCAACTTCATACGGAAAATCCTGAATATCGAATGATTCTCTGAAGAAGTTAGTCTAGCCAAAAAGTCAAAGATAGTAAGAAAGGCGTTCCTTTTCGATTAACGTCTATAGCTTTTAGCTTTTATTACCCTGTTGAAAAGTCCAGTGTTTTTACTTTTTTTCGTATGAAGCGAAACGAATGCATTGAAGCTCATTTATTTAATGTGGTGTTGATTTTTCCTCTCTTTCAAATTAGAGTCCACTTCCTTTTTCATGCAACTAAAAGCTAAATTAACAATTCCTAACGAATCTTAGAGATATATTGGGTAGTCGAAAAAGTCTTTTCGTATTTTGTCAATAGATGTCGTAGCAGTCGTATATCTCCAGTGATACGAATCACATTGTGATATACCACAATGCAGTGTAGAGATTAAGCTTCATTTAATTCGGAGAAGATCAAAAACAAAATTAGTTCCAGCTGTTCAAAAAATAAGTAAAAATAATAAAGGATATTCACCATATTTCGAAATTTTTGTATGAAAAACCGAAGAATGCGACGTAAGCCAGCAATAAAATTTGTGAAGCTTACGGAGATGCTGATTCTGGAAATCTAGAAATCTCGATTTACACTGATGAAAGTTTTACAAGTCTAGAATAATGTCTCTTTCGGAAAAATGCAAAAAGTGGTCGGCCAAAAACGTACAGTTGAAGTTTGATCAGATATACGAAAAGCCTTTTTCGACTGCCCCATATTTATACATACTACACACAGTAACACTTTTATAGAAAAATCTTTAATATGTTATGATTACACAGAACCTTCGATGGCGTGTGGCTATTTTTGATCTGCCAAATTCGATGATCATGTATGGAAAACTGTGTAAAAAACAGGCCAAACAAAAATTGTGGTGATCGGACCATTACACTATAGAATACTGTAACTCAAAAACTGTTTGAAGTTTAGTATTTTATTTTAAGGAATATAACCTATCGAAATTTGAAACGATGGTGAAGAATATTGCGCATTTCCTTACTGTACTTAATTATAAAAGGTGTTTCTAACAATTGTATTTCAAAGTACATATACTGTGGCGTATGAGCAACATTTTTCAAGGAAGTGCGTGTGCAAAACAATATTCGTCCTTTTTATTAAAATTTGTAGTTATAGGAGTATATTCGTCATAAAAAAAGTGGAACTGGCTAATTCGAGGCTTAACGAAACTTTTCATGTAAGTGTGCGTGTATGTGTAAGAACACAGTAATGTGTTTCACATTGGCATTCCTTATGGCAACTATGTGCATAACTAAGTCTGAGAACGTAATTGGCGAACCAGCTCCTTCTATAAAGAGTTAAGGTTACTTCATAAGGTAAGGCGATATTTTGCGACATGGCGGTGTATCACGCTTAGGCTGTTATGAGCAGTTCTTTGTCAAGTTAACTATTTCCATTTCCGCCCCTGTATCAGCTGCTTATAGACGTCTCGGAAAGCAGTAGCAAGCTCTACTATAAGAACAAAAAAATTTGAAGATTGGAATAAGAAATATTATAGATATAGCGCCATCCTAAACTAGCTAAGCTTTCCTTATGCTAGACTATATTTTCCCTAGAATAGATTTCAATAGTCACGCAGACAGTATAATCCAAGCAGATTTACTAAGTAAAGAGAAAGTCTGTAAAGATTTATTGAATAACTAAGAAAGGATACCGAAAGCAATCATAAATTCCAGCATAGTCCACAACTGCAGGAAGACTTTAAGCATTGGCTGGTCAACTCTATTTGTCCACAATTTGGGTTCCAGTTAAAGGAAATATTTTCGGCAATTAAAAGTGGAACCAGTTAGCAAAGCTAGGAACCTCTGTGGTCGAGTCCGAGGCGGAGTCAATAACATGCCCGCGCTTTGTATGTATTTTGAACAAATAGCTCAGAGCAGATGGAACTGGATAGTGAGCTGCCAAACAACAAGGAAATTATGGCCCAAATATGACAAAAGAAGTACCAAGAACATACTATTTAGCTCCAGAAATAGCGTATACAAACTACAGCTTGCATAATGAAGCATTGGCCTTTGGAAAGCATGCGCTAAAATAGGATTTCCCTATAACAATATTTACCGCAGCTACAAGCTAGAAGGGGATAAGGAAACGATTTCCCACTTTCTCTGTCGACTCGAGCTCGTCACTTTGATCATATAAAGGTTGATCCATTTCGAGGTTCCCTACTTTTTTTGAAAAAAATCACGAAAAGATTTTTTTGAAGATTATCTCTCTCAAATTTTCGATGCCCCGTTCGAGCTTTTGACTGTTTTGACACGCGTGATATTTTGCACCAAGTCTTGAATCAAAACGAGATTGTCTGCAGGTGCTTTTAACTTTGCATATCCGTACAGGAAAAAGGTCTAACACATGCCTTGCCCTTAAACCACACCGAACCGTTGTGTTTTCTGAATGAAATGTCAGTTCTTGAAACTTTTCAAGCTGCTCTTCGTTCCAGATGCGACAATTTTGCTTGTTAATATAACCATTGAGCCAGACGACGAAACCGTCGGATTTTCTTGCAATTTTTCAAGAGCAGATAAAGCGAAGCGATGTCCCTTGGGACGGTCACGCGCCTTCAGCTCTTGCATGAGTTGTATTTGGGACGCTTTCAATATAAGATATCGAGATAAAATGCTCCAATTGGTTTCATACGACATTCCGTGTTGCTGCGAACGGCCCCGTATTGTCTCTCCACGGTCTTCGTGTACACTCTTAGCTACGACTGCAATAGTTTCTTCAAGGTTTCCGAAACCTTGTTTCAAATCACATTAAAATCTTCGACACAAAAATACATATTATTCTAGCAGGTATATACATATACATTTAAAGAGGATGGTAAATGAATAATGTAAACACGCTTATCCTGGCTAACCATCGGACCGGCAGAACTACTTCATAAATTTGAGACACGTTGAAAAAAACTTTAAAGCCTTAAGCTTCTGTAAAATGTTTTTACAGTCCACATTCCAAACATCAAAGCTCAAAAAGCTCTTTAACAGCTCTGTTAATTAAAACTAACAGCAGCTCAAAGCACAAAATGAAAGCCAAGTTTAGTTAACAGCAGCTTTCTGAAGCTGATCTTGTTTGGACTGCGAGGCACAAATTTGTATTCACATTACCTAATAGGCGATAAATCCCACAGAACATAAATGGTAACAGCGATTTTTGGATATTCAGGGCGATGCGATTACAATATAATGGAAAAAACGACGCTTTGTAAATAAAACGAAAAAGGAGAAAGCAATAAACTCATAAACAACTAAGCGCATGCATTATTGATGATTATTTTATATCGTATATATGTGTGTGTGGGTATAATATAATATGTAAACTGTAATTGCAGCAGTTGTAACGAAGAGTTGGAATGCACATTTGATATTTCATTCTCGTATTATAGTTAACTGATCGTAACGAACGTGCGCAATGAAAGTGAAAAAATCAATTATTTAAGCATACAAAAGTTAAACGTTTTCAACAATGTTTTCAGCAATGTTTTCAAAGCTTTCAGGGACACGTTTGCATCATAAAAAACAAAAATAAAACTTGTTATTAATAAGCATCATGCGCCAGTAGCAGGCATAAGCACATCACATCACACTCTAAGATACGCAACCGGCAAGATGTAGACACCGAGAGTGAGAGCGTGAAGATCAACTGCGCTGATACAGCGAAATGACAGCAGCATGATCAGATATTGCCAAGCATAAGCTCACTGAGACGCGGATGACGCGATGTTCGTTTGCCGCACTTTCGTAAACGCTTGACTTTGAAACATTATCATACGTGTTTCGCTATTTGTAGTGTATCCACCAGATGTCTAATGATCGTGGTATCTCATTTAAAGTCTATTGAGCTCACATATAGCAATAATCTCATAAATTATGTGCATGTTTCATAAAGTTAGTACTCACAAAAGCTTACGCCTATACGCGCAGAGAGCAGCACAATTGGCTTGGAGCCTGTGCATGAGCAGCAGAGCGCATTGCGATCACTGAAGCATTTCGAACGTACGATTCCCCCATGGCTTTAGCTGGCAGTAGTCCACAAACGCTGGTACTACAAACACCCCACCCTTTCACTGCGTTTGTATTTGTGTGCCTGTACGTAGTGCGCAGAGAGCTCTTTCATACGGCGTAGTCAGTCACACGGGCCCGGTTCGAGCGTTAGGACGTAGAAGTAGACGCGCGCGCGCCCAATCGCACGGCTAAGTGATCTGTCCAAGTGTAGTGAGTGATTCAGTGAATGGAAAGAAGGGAGAAAAAAAGTTAGCGCATTAGCAGCTTTCAGGTTTTTTACTTGTTTGGATTTACAGTGCATTTCGCCGTCGCAATTGCAGTGATCGCACAGGTTCGCTGTTTGCTGGTATTTATTGTGTTTGCGCTTTTTCGGAATTTTCGCAATGCAAGTACGCGTGTGGCATTCATATTGACGCTAACGTTTTGGAAAAATGTTAAAAATACCAATGCAAATGTTGCAAATATCGAAACGTGCTGCCAATATACATACATAGCTATGTGTATCTCGCCAATAAGCTCCGCGGTTTCCCATCCCAAAATATATTAAAAAGCAATGCAATAAATATGCTCGTATAAATAGGCCATCGAAATGTTAAGGTCAAATGAGTGCGAAAAGTGTGTGTGTGTAAAAAAGATGTTGCTGTGGTATTGCTGTAACTTTAAAGTAACTGTTTGCAAATACACAACCGCAATGACAACAAGCAACAGTTTTGTTGCAGTAATAATATTCGTATACGCGCACCGATGCAATAAAGACGAATAGCCACCATAACATGATTACAAGCTACGCTTGCGGGCATAGCAAAAAACAGTGGCGTGTAGTAGTTGGGGCACAATATGCAAGGTTA